AGCAGATTTTATTAAATAACAATACACGTTGAATTAACGTATTCGGTTTCTCCATAGATCATCCAACACCCGTTCCTCCTCCAAAATTGCTGCCTTGTGGTCCTGATGTACCTAGGCCTTTATCTGACGGATACTGGGACAACAATGTTACATTCGTTCCTCTTGTTTGTCAAAGTAAACAGTGGTCAAAAGAAGAGTTCAACAAATGCATGTTTAATAAGCAAGTCACTGGTATCGGCGATTCAACGCTTCGTCAATTCTTTTCATTCGCAGATACCTTCGGATTTAACATATCAGACTTCCACGTGTTGGCTTTACGTATTGCCGGGGAAATTGTCAGCATATGGAAACCCATGTTTGCTGCTGATCTCATTGATAATATTACCCAGAAGCAATGCGATACAAAAACACAAGTGGTGATTTTGAATTTCAGTTTCCACTACGGTAGGTGGTCCATCCGCTCATACGTTGAGCGTGTGTTTAGAGCAAAGCTGGCGAGTGAAAGATTACTACAACGATGTCCAAATTCTAAAGTAATAATCAAACTTGCGCATGCGCGTGACAACAATTGGAGGGGCCAGAACATCCACAGTAATAACTGGCTGTATTATGACATGAATAGAATTATCAGACGAGTCTTTGGTGGAATCGGTGTAGTGTTTCTTGATGTGTGGGATATGGTTGATTCGTCCTTCGACGAGAACCAGGTTCATATGTCGACTGTTGTAATGAGGCAGGAACTATATCTCTTGCTCTCGTATATTTGTCCGGAAATGGCAAGTTTGAAATAATGGTGTTCTGATAGTATTTTGGGTGGATATGGGTATTAAGCGGACAATTATTTGTATAAAAAATACCTGGGTCTGTGAAATTTACAATATGTACGTCTATGTGTATGTAGCTCAAAATTACTGTAGTATTCAATATTACGTCATTGGGAATATAATGATTGCAAACAAATTATGTCACTTCACGATTTCATTTCAGTTGTCGTTACCCGATCGCAATTATTTTTACTTTGGTTTTTGTTTGTGTACCAAAGTTTATTTGTACAGTAACCTAATGTACCGATAACTTCATTGCATGGCATGTTCCATTTTACACTGAAATAAATACTTAAATAAAAAAAATAAGGTATATTTATAAAAAATAAGTATACAAGTTGCAGTTGAACTTGAAGTTTGATTTTACATAAAATATAATTGTTTTTACATATTTAGTAAATCTGCTATATAACATATATTCTCCCAGCGAAAAAAAAAAACATTTCTCTTGTATAATTCATATTTTTAAATTTTAAACTGGTCATTCAATATGGTATTTAAATTAAACACACTGATATATATTCTCTCACCGCAATTCAGGTGTATACACAGTATAGATATACAATACAGACTGCTAGTACCTATAGCATATGCTACAATTACTTTCAGATCATATCATTTTCATTGAAATTATTTGTTTCGTTTTGGTCAAAATCTATTTATTTTTGTGTTGTACATAAGAAATATTTGAAATGTTGATTGTTATGCTGAAGTTGGCTTTTTCATTATGATCGTTTCAAAATAACTGTCACTGTCATTTATAATGTAAATAAAGACCAACATGTTCCTATAGCGCCCACTAGCATTTTTGTTTGGAATTAACCATTTAAGGGTTAGCCATTTATGAAAATAGTAGATGAAGGCACACTTCATCAATCAAAACACTCAAAACAATTGAATCTAAAAAAAGCACTGGACCCCCCCCCCAAATATTGTTAGTTATTCCTTTATCTGTTTTGGGTTGAAAAGGAAAGATTATTGCTACTCCTGAAATTATTCACACACAAAAATGGGCCTTACATATGTGTTTTTTTTAAACTACAGATGTGAAACAATTGTTGATGTAAGTAATCATCTTGGAATGAGATATGTTCATCCGCCAGAAATTATAGCAGAATTAAAGATGCCACTCGTGGAATTCAAACACTCAGATATATTCTCAGGTGATTCTCTCATACTGAACTTTTCTATTTTTTTCCCTTAAAATAATATTGTTCAAAATTGAAATCAATCAATGCTAACTAAGGTTATGATACAATATACTACAATTATTTTGGGGATTATGGTATAGAGCTCCTAAAACACGTAAAGCATTCTCCAAGAGGTATTTATAATATATATATAAATAATCAAGTTTTTGAAGGGGAAATATTACCAATTGTCATGGTGCAGAAATGTGGTATTTACATAATTCAAAAGAATTCGAAAGCATGCTATATACATTTTGTAAACATGTTCTCAACGTCACTCTTAATGCGGCTAATCCCGCTGTAATGTGTAGACTAGTGCAATTCATTTTAATGTTTAGTTCAAATTGTTATACTGAACTTGTATTCTTAAAATGTATATGAATCCTAGCGTTTTCCAAATTCCAATTTGACCGACATTTGTTAGGCATCTGAAATGCCTTTTGTTTTCTTATGACTTTGGGATTGGGAATGAAAACATTACATTTATAACATTATTCGTGTCGTGACATTGATTTTAAAAACTTTCATGCTTTGTTTTTAAACATTGGGTTAGTATGTGGATCAACTCAGCAGATTTCAGGGTCACCCAAATCATGTTCCGTTCTAGTCAGTGAAAATCTTGAGTTGGAATCTCATAAAAACACACTACCGTACCTTAAATACGTCACACAGTCTATTGTGTCAATCGTTAATTGATAACACCTATATGCTCATTGCCTAAATACTTATCTAGTGACATTTAGGGAGAAATCTGAGGCACATAGCATGTCATACTTACAGGCATTTGTACATGTAGCGCCTAACTCTAGGCTATCAATCCTACCTCTTACTTTATTAAAATCATTTATTTTTAGATCATATATGGGTTAGGTGTTATACTGAAACCTCGTGATTTCTGCATAATAAAATCTATCCTAGATTATGGTTACTCTTTATGCTGATATATAGCTCATTACATAAATAGAGTTTGGTCAAGTAATTACTGTCTGTCAATTGTGCAAACAACTCTTTTAGGTTAGAAATGGGCTCAGCATCAAAGATTGTCATCTTAATGAGTGTCTTTGGTTAGTAAGAACCTGTTTGGGTATACCATCACGACTAGAAATAGTCGACTAACCCTCTGCTACCTCTTGGTCGTGACCTTTTTAGATATACAGCTTCAGGGAAGTGGGTTGCATAAACAATCTTTGTAAGTATAGACTGGCTCCCACTGTTAGTGATCGGTTGGATTGGCCACTAAGACCATTGCAAAACGGGGGAGTGGAATATCAATCAAAGGCATGGGAAAACTACCTACTCTACCTAACTGACTAACGACAGACCTAAATCGAAGTCTTTGGTATTATAATAGTAGACCTTTTTATATATTGTCATGAAATGTCTGGTTTGTAATTATAAGTAACTTTTTAAAATACATTTTCGGATTTTAAAATTGAAAACGGATTTTGAAAACGAAAATGGATTTTGAAAATGAAAATAGATCTCAAAAATGAAAACAGATTTTAAAAACGAAATTGGATTTTAAAAATGAAAACGGATTGAAAACGAAAATGGATTTTAAAAACGAAAATGGATTTAAACAATTGTTTTTAAAAATAACAACAAAACCCAAAACTTTAAAACGAGAGTGGTACAATAAATTTGTCAAGAAAACTCTCTAAATTTCAAAGAAAAATCTCCTATCGGAAAACAAAAACGTCAAATCAATAACATCTAAAAAATGTAAAGTAAATATGGACAGAAATTATTTCAAACAAAAAACATATACTGAGAACTTATGCACAATTTAAAGCAGATTTTAAGTTAAAGACAAACATGTATTTGAAAAGACAAAGAAAATTATATGACAAATTTGGAATTAGCAAACAGAATTTGGAAACAGTAATGAAATGAAAATTTAATTGAAGATGTGGAACATTATTATTGATATGATACTGAAGAAAAAACATTATGTAGTGAAAAAATAAAAGTTTTATTTAAAAATATATGTACATATTGAAGCGCGGTAGTCGTCGCGCTGCGCATGTGCGAGATATATGGGTCTCGTACGAAATGGGACGTTACCAAGTTTTAATTAAGTAATTTTCATGTTATTGGAAGGTATCGAAGGAGTCACCGGCGGTAATCAGTGCAAGTCGCGCCCAAGTCAAACCTCATACTTGTGATTTCCATTTGAAGAGCGCATTGGATTTTGGGAAAATCAATGTTTATCAACACAAATGTTGCACATGCGCAGCGCGACGA